CTTTGAGCCTCAGTTTTTTCACCTGTAAAATAGGGATAATTACACCTGTCTAGCCCACTCTGTGTGGCTAGCCAATAAGAAAGCATTTTGAAAACCAAACATTTCCACAGTAGTTGAAGGAAGAAGTGCCTAGCTTTCTGAACCCTTGACCTTGCACAAAGAGGGAAGGAAGGGATCCGAGCATTTAGGCAAGGCAGGGGGGTAGTATTTCCCATCCACCTTCTATCCCATAAAGGTAATTAGAGGGTCCGGCACTGTCGCCCTTCCTGTGTTCTCCCTTTCAGGATTTTTTCTCGTTTTCATTGACTATACCACACTCGGTCCAAGTTTACACCCACCCCTCCTCCCTCTCTCTCTCTCCCTCTCTCTCTCTCTCTCTCTCTCTCTCTCTCTCTCTCCCTCTGTCCTGCCACTCCTCCATGACCACTTCTCTCTGCAGCCTGCCCCACTGCACCAGCGCAGCTGCCAGAGGATCAGTTAAACTCCCCCACCCCCACCCTAACAGCGGGGTTAATTGTGGCCTCCGGCGCAGTCCCCTTTGGGCGAGTCTGCCAAAACCGTCGGGAGGAGGTGGCCCGTTGGCAGAGACTTGGGGAAGAAAATCCCGTCCAGTCCGGTTCCAAACAAAGAAAGTTGGTCCTCCCAGGACCTGCAGTCAACCTGCCAAAGCGGAGATGAGCCGGTGCGGGGAGGCCTGACCAACGAACGGGAGGCTGGAGGGGGAGAGGGGCTGGGAAGAAAAGGACGGAAAGGAGTGCTGAGGAAACGGAGAAGATGCCTGTTTCTGGAAGGCCTGCAGAGGCGGGTCTGGAAGAAGCCCAGGTTACTACCTGGCCAAGTACCCCTTCCCAGGTTCCTCCCCAAGCCAGGGTTGAGAAAGTCCCAGTGAGGCTGAGTGGCGGTGGCAAAGTAATGATTAACCCTTTTCTCAGCCAGGCCTCGAGCCCGCAGCCTGATGTGGCTCTGGTGGAGGGAGACAGTGCCAGTGGGCCCTGGGCGTCCAGGGGCTATCTGTCACGGCCACCGCGACAACGGGGGCTGCGGAGTAAGGGGACAGGCGGTAGCAAAGGGCAGCCGAAAGGGAACGGGGTGCTGGGCACGGGGAGCGCAACTCCAGAGGCCGGGCAGACCTAGGAGAGGGAAATAGCTACAGCCAGTGCACAAGGAAAGGAAGGGGCCAGAAGCGGGCCGGGGCACTGGGCTCTGCAGCGCCGAGGAACAGTTGGAGAGGGGCGGGAGAAGCCCGGCGGGCTGAGTTGTCCCACAGTTACCAGCAAGCACCAAATCTACTCCCGGATCCATCCGCGGCGCCCGCCCTCCCTTTCTCCTCTGCCAGCAGCTGTGCGGGTGTGAGGAGCAGGCGGAGAACGCGCCAGAGCCGGGAGCGGGTAAGGAAGGGGAGACCCGCCAACGACCCGGGGAGGCGAAGGGCAGGGCCGCCCGGGCGGGGACGGGCTGCTGGGCGCCGCGAAGTGGCTGCAGACAAAGGACCGGAGCGGAGGGGAGTGGGGAAAGCGGGGGAGAGAGGGGCTGGTGAGACAGGGAAAGAACCGAGGAGAGGGGGCTCTCGGGGGACCGGCCGGGGTCGGTCTACTCCTGCCGCCTCCGCCCACTCGCGCCTTGAGTCGGGCGTCCCGGGGGCTCACTCCCGCTTGGGTTCCTGCCGGTGGGCCTGGGGTCGGGGCACGGGGTGTTGCTGTGGCTGGGGGCGGGGGGTGCCGTAAGTGTGTGGGTGCGTATGCGCGCGCTCGCGGGGTAGGCAGGCGGGGGAGGGCTGGGGAAGGGCCTTCGCTGTTAGACGAGACCCCTGGCCCGGCGGCTGCAAGCCCCTGCCCTCCGCTCTCCGCGGTCCAGAGCCGTCCGTCCCCGAACTTGAAACAAAAGGGCTGAACAAAATCCCTCAGGAGTCGGGGCACAGGCTCTTTCTGGGAAAAGTGCTTTGGTTTGAGACTTTAACGGTCGCATCCAGGAATATTGCTTAACTTTCGGTAACTGTTCCTGGGGTGGGGGTGGGGGTGGGGGGCAGATGCAAAGTAAATCTCGGACAGAAAAGCCCAAGTCCCAGTAATTCCACCCGCCACGCCTGGACCAGCGGTGAGGTCTAGACCCGCGGCTAACGAATGTATTGAAGAAACCGACTAATGTATGGAGGAAGCCTCTTTCAATTTCTAAATCAATTAAGGAGAATTTCTTATGTGTCTCCCTGGGGGCTGAACGTCTCCTGGTGAGGGGGTTGTGAGAGCGTGTGCTCGGGCGTTGCGAGGGTGTGTCGGGGGTGTTCTGTGTCGGGGGGATGGAGAGGCGCGTCCAGCCAGACAGCTGTGTCCCAGGCGGGGCTGCGTGCGGAGCTCGGGACCCCTATCCAGCACCTCCGCCTCCTCCCTCTGCCTTCAGCTGAGGCTGCTCCCAGGCCAAGGCCTCCGCAGCCTCTTCCAGAGGGGCCGCCAATCAATCCTGCAGGTCAACACAGCAATTAATAACAGGGTGAGGAGGCCTGGCAGAAGAGGGAGGTGCGGCGTCAGGCTGTGTCTCCCCCAGGCTCTGAGGGCTCCGTGGCGGGGCCAAGGAGGGAAAGGGGTCTCAGAGGGCAGACAGAACCATGGGAGCTCAGTGCGGGCCAGGGAGTGGGCCCAAAGCCCCAGGAGGGAGAGGCAAGGGACCCGCTGGGACAGGCCAGAAGAATAAAAGGGAGGCCATCAAATAAAGATCTTGTTTTTATGGTTCTGGGGCTAGAGGTAGTGATGGCCACAGACCACAACTGACCTAGTTACTGGTTCTCTCCCCCTCTCCCTCCCCTCCCCCCTTTCCTTTTGGTTTTCGCTACCCTGGAAGCGGCTCAGCGACACTAAATAAAACCCGCATCCTTCGCAAACCCGGCTGAGGCGGTTGCGCCAGGGCATCTGCCAGGCACGCTCGCTCGCTCGCGTGTGTCATTGTCATTTTGAACGAGCCGGACGGGGCCGAAAGGGGCGTGGGGCCCCGCCTGGGGGACACGGCTCCCCCCCCGCCCCGCGCCTGCAGAGCTGCGCCCAGCCAGCTGTGTGTGAGAGAGAGGTGAGGGGCAGAGGAGCGGGAGGGGGCGGTGAAAAGAGACAGAGAGAAGGCGGCTCTGAGGGCGGAAGACTCCGGAGCTCGGTGGGGCAGTCTCGAAGGGAACAGCGGCTTTCTTCCCGCAGAAATAGTCTCTCCTCCGGCCCAGTTCCGCAGGTCCCCCCCACCCTTCCCCAAACCGCAACTGGCGGGGGTGCGATAAAAACGTGGGGGGTTGGGGGGAAGGGAAGGGAAAGGGAATGCAGTGCGCAGCCAGTCGCCCTGGCCACTCTGCCACGCACGCCCGAGAGAGCTGCTACTGGGTAAGCGCCCCGTCCCTTCTGCAGAGTCCCGAGCGCCAGGGAACTGGGGACGAGGACCCTGACAGGCGGTCAGGGATGCCCTCACCGCTCTGCCTTCTCCTTCCCGAGGCGCTGTGGAGGGGGCCAGGCTTCCTCTTCTGGGAGACTAGCCGGGACTGGGAACCAGGTCCACGCACCTCAGGCCTGCGAAGCAGGGAGAGCCGCCTTGCAAGAGGGAAAATGGAAAAGTGGGAGTGTCGGGAGCCTGAGCAGATGGGTCAAGGAAGTAAGGAGCAATGGGGGCAGGAGGCAAAATAGACCCAGAGTGAGGGAGAGAGAAACCCGTTCGGGAGATGAAGAGAGGGGGAGACAGGTTCCCAGGAAGGCCCAGCCATTAGGTCTGTCCTTGGGCTGCATATTTATACGGTCGAGGGGGTGCACAGATGGGCTCTCAATTGAATTCCATCTTCAACACCATCAGAGATTGATTTTGTACTCGCTTTTAATTTTGCCATAATTAATTAGATCATTACAACTGTTTGCTATTGATCTCCCTACTTAAACCTCTGGTGCGGAGGGGTGGCCCAGAGCCCTAAAAGCCCAGGAGGCCACAGTTGACAGTCCTGGGGGCCCAGAATCCCCAGTGGGGACAAGGCCCCCAAGGGGAAATGGAGGGAGGTAGCCCAAGGACTGGGCCACGACCCTAGAGGGAGGGCAGTGCTGAGGGGGCAAACGGCATTGTCAGCTGAAAGAACTAGAACCTGAGTTGGGGGGGGGAGGAAGGAGATTTGAGGAAAGGGAGGAGTGAGGCAAAAGGGGGGGCACATGGAGTTAGCCCTTGACCTCTGTGGGATTATTTGGAAAATTCTTGGAAATCTGATCCAAACTCCTCCCTCCCCACTAATCCAAAACTACACTCGGGCCCCTAGTTGCCCTGTGCTGCACCAGGGCACCAAGTGGGGGGACAGAGCTGAGTCGGCAGGCTCCAAGGAGAGGGAGGGGAAAGGAAAGAGAGAGAAGCCCTCCATAACCTTAGCTTTTTGGGTAAACAGTCCTACATTCTCAGCCCCTGGGTCCCCTGGGGCCTGCCGCCTTCCCCCTTATCCCAGGCCTCCCTGGAATTGTTTATTTGGGGGAGGGGCAGAACCCTCTCTCCACACGTGTTGGGCACCTACAACAGCGCTTACACTTTGGCTCCTACTCAAATACACAAGACACCTCACATACGGGCACACATCACATCCCCACCCACTGGCACACATGCACCCACCCCCACGCACAATTTCCACTAGACACTAAGACCTTCCCAGTGCTCTCAACTTAGAGAAAGTTATGCAAAATATTTATAAACTGAGGGACAGTGGAAAGATAAGAGTCCTAAATGCGTAACAGAAAGGGAATGCCAGGTTCCGTAAAGAGACCAAGAGAAGTTGTAACTCGTGTTTCTGGGTGGAAAGTTTTAAGTAGATTTAGAGGACACTGGGAGGGAAGGCCCAGGAGGCCCCAGGAGTGGGAAGGGGCCACAGAACCGCGTCCTCCGCGGTCACAGCGGCTCCCCCAGGCAAGCACAGAGAGAAAGGGAAGTGAAGTCCGCCCTTGGCTTGGCCGCCCCCATCCCTCTCAGCCACCCGCTTGCCTGTGGCGCTGACAGGTCCTTCTGGCTCTCACCTGCCGGACCTGCGTGCTGTTCCATGCTCTGCTCCCCGCCGCCGCTGCTGCCTGGGACTGGGTCTCCCTTCTCCAGTCCTCCGCGGCCCGACAGCGCGTCTAGCCTTTGCCGCCGCCGTCCCGAGATCTGGGCGCAGCCACCCGAGACCGAGCGGCTCAGATAACCCAGGCTGCCCGCCGCCTCGGCTGTGCGCTCCGCTCGCGCCCGCGCTCACACACCCGGCCGCGCTGAGGCACAGCCACCCGCGGGGGAGCCCCCAGCTCTCGGCCAGCGCACAGGCGCACACACGCCCCCAGGCCCGGAGCCAGCCTCAGGCAAGCAGCTCCTGCGCTGCAAGAGGCACCCAAAGACCGTATCCCCAGCCCAGACGCCGCACTCTCTCACCCACCCCCTCTTCACTGTGATAAGCGCTCCCCTACGGTCAACAGCCTGGAACGCAGGGGCGTCTTCACTCTTATGCACTCCCCAATTTTGTGAGGTTCTCCTCTCCGGTGGCTCACAGCACTATCCTCATCCTATTTCCTCCATCATCAGTCTCCGCACCCGCCGCACAATCCCGGGTCTTAGCCTCAGTTTCCAAGGTCCCTCTCCACACCCTCTAACTTTGTGCTTCCACACAGTTGCTCCCTGGAGGTCCTTGTCACCAGTGCATTGTGGATCTGCTTACTAAGTCCCTCAGAAGCTCTTCTGCACCAGATTAAAACACATACGCACAAAACAACCACTCCTAATAAAAGGGAAAGTCCTGGTTTCCTTGTCTTAAGGAGGTGATAAGAGCCCCAGGGAAAAGAAGAAAAGACCAGAACCTCCCAAAGTCCTGCCACACTCACATGACCTCTCCCTCCAGCCACTCCATTCCCCGGCAATCTGGTCCTCTCACCATCTCTTGGGTCCTCAGGTGCACACCTTGTCCAAACTTCTCTTATCAAAGGTTCACTTTAGCTGAGGTTAACTTTAGCTTTTTCCCACGTTGTGCCTTTTCAATCTGGAATTTACACTTCTCACACCTTTGTCACAAATTCTCCTTCAGACCTCCTATCCACCACTGTCTCATATGCACACTCTTGTACTCCTACCTCTCACACATTCAGATACCTCTCAGGTACCATAGCTCCCACCCCTCCCCTCCAGGTACCTAGCCCTTTCTCATTTGCCCCACTTCATACCCTTTCCCACTTTTTCTGGGCCTCCCACTCTCGCACAGCCTTGCTCACAGGTGCTGAGTACCACCGAGAGGCTGCCAGGAAAAGTGCTGGGTAAGCCCCAACTTAGGTTAGTACCTGGAAGTTCTTCACTGTGAGTCCCATCCACTTCAGCTGAAGTTCTCCTAGAAAAATTGTGCAACTGGGGGCAGGAAGCTGGAGGGGCACAGGAGCCCAGAGGCAAAACCTGTGTCATTGTTTCCCAACTTAAAATTTTTAAATCTTCCTACAAGAACATGAATTTCTAATCTTTCTGGCAAATCAGGGCCAAGTTACCACCTTACCGTTACTTGTGAGTTAAAACATCAGACTTTTCCAGTGTTTTTTCTTTTTTCCCCTTTTAAAATTCAAACAGTGATTTTCCAATCTAAGAGCACAAAAACTTAGAAGCAAACAAAATTTTTTTTCTTTTAGTTATACACAGAGCAACACCCCCAAGGACAAGAAGGGAGAGCACATACAAAATCACACCCTCGCGTGGTCATTTCATTACACACAGGTGAGATGTTCACACACATAGTTAGCCTCTGTGTCACCAACTCAGAACCCCGCCCAGCCACACCCAAGGGCCATGACCTGCTGAGTCACACCTTCACGATTCAGCTTTTGCGCCTTTGTTAACCTCTTCTCTAAAACAGTGGTAATAATCCTTGTCCTTCTGGCAGGCTTCTCACAAGATAACTTGAGTGCAAGTGATTTATAAAATGTAAAGTGTGACCACAGACACATTCATTGCCCTTGCTCCTATATTATCGGAGACAAGAACTGAGACCCAAAGTTACACACACACACACACACACACACACACACACAGCAGAGAGGCACCCACAGGGGAACCAGGTGTTTTGAACTGCAGACACACACACACACACTCAACTCAGTGTCCCTGCCTGCTCCTGAGCCAGCTCGTCACAGTTACCTGAACACAGGGCCCAGGGTTGGGGCAGTGCCAGGGCTGGGGCCTAGGCCCAGGGGAAAGCAGCTGAGGCCATTGTGCTAAGCAGCCTGTCGCATACCAGAGGGACCAAGAGGAGGAAGGAGCTTTTTCAGCTCTTGGCTCTGATATACTTGGAGCCTTGGGGACTCTGGAAGCCTGCAAAGTGATGCCAGTCAGAGGGCTCAGCTCCATACCTCAGCCTCCCTCCGACCTCCTCCCTCAGGCCCCGCTTCTCTTTGTCCTCTGCCCTCGCCCCTGTCCCACACTGTCTCAGGCCCTTGCGCTCACTGCCTGCCCCATTGATTGAGAGTCTCTCTCGGGTTCTCCAAGGAGTCCCAGGAAAAATGATCCACCAGCCTATTGATTCTTCATTAGAATTACATTTTCACACGTGCTAAATTGGTTTTAAAAGCTTTTTCTGTTGTTATTGTCTTGTCAGACCTTGTGGTCCAGGGCAAACCAAGTTTAAATGTTGTGGCTTCTTAGGGAAAAAAAAAATCACCAAGGCCAGGTCTGTAATTACTCGCTTTCCTGCCTTATCCTTGTCATGATGACAATCGCGATTTGGTTTAAGTATCTTTAGGGAAAGGGCCCTGCAGGGGGCTGGCTGCTCAGGTCGGGCTGGGACTGGCTGGTGAGCTGGCTGGTGTGGAGAGCGCTCTGAAGCCCCTGGAGGAAGGACACCAGAGCAGTTTCCCTTTCCTCAAAAATTAAATGTAACGCTTGAACTTGTGTTAATTGCTTCTGGGACAAGAGAAAAGGTAAAAGTTTTTAAAATCACTTCCCCCCCTCTGTGTTTTCCAGATTGAATAGATGAGAAATACAAAACACAACCCCACTTATTCCAGATCTGTCCCTTCTCCGAAACAGCTGGGGAGGAGACACCAGCCTTCCACAAGGTGCTGAGGGAGACGCAGCCCCCTGCCGTACAGCAGGGCGGGCGCCCAGTCACACAGACAATGTTAACCATGGCACCCTGTACTGGGGCGGGAATGAGCCCAAATGAGGGTGAAGAAGTGGGGGACAGAGAGGTAGAGACCCACGTGGGGATGGATAGGGAGGGAGGGAGAAAAGGAGAGAGAGAAAAACACCAGAGACAGTGTGAGAAGCCCAGGACAGAAGAGAATGAGAAGCATGAACAGAAAGAACTAATGAAGACGGAAGAAAGGAGGAGAGAAGGGAAAAGGAAGTGTACAGAAGGAGGGGAAAGGGAAAGAGAGGAGGGGAGGGAGAGAGTCGGAGGCGGGCAGCGGAGCCAGCCCCGGGGAGGCGGCAGCCTCCTGCCCCATCCCCCTGGCCTGGCAGCCAGCAGGCCGTGCTGGGGAGTGGGCACTGGGCGGCGGCGGAGCCCAGGCAAGGGAGCCGAATGTCTCCGTGATGTGTTTATCCCCTAATCAGTTCATTAGTTATAAACAACATGACATTAGAAGTTAGGAGGCAGTTGATATTAATTTTTATTTAACTAGTTGATGTTTAATCCGTCACGCCAGGCTGGGTAGCAGCGAGAAAGATCTTCCTGACACAAAACCAGTTAGAACTTCATAAGGCGCAATCAGTGTCCGCGCGCCGAAACAAACAAGAGAGACAGAGACAGAGACACAGGGAGAGACAGAGAGACAGAGGCAGCCCCGCCAGAGACGGAGCCGGCGAGGAGGACGGAGAGATAGCTGACTCGGGTGAGGGCGGGGCGGGGGGGGGGTGGCAGAATAAACCAGAAAGACAGAATGCAGAGAGGGCGGCTCGTTGGGGGGCTGGCAGCCCTGAATTGGCCACACGATAGTGAGGGGCCCGGCCGGGCGCCCTGGGAATGCCCAGCCGTGGAGGCCGTGGAGGCCGTGGAAGCCGTGGAGCGGCTGGCCGGGGCCTTGCCAAGCCTCGCCGCTGCAACCTGCAACCGTTAGCGCCTTCCGCCGTGGAGCTCCTTGGGTGACCCGCAGCAGGTCGGACCGCCAGGAGCTAATGTCCCAGCTTTCGGAAATTGTCCTTTCCCAGGTCCGGAGGCTGAGAAACCCTTCCCGTCCGGCTCTAGAAAGAGCCGGCCGGGCAAGAGAGGGAAGGAGAAAAAGGCAAGGAGTTTGTGACCAGCGGCTCAAGTTTGACAAAGTTTGCAGCGCTCACAAGTCACAGCGGGGCGCGGGTGCCTGCGTGTCGGGTGTGCTCGGCAGTGCGAAGAGGGAGGAAGTAGGGACAGTCTGGGGGTTCTGCAGGCGGGAAAGACTTCCCCCCGAGTTTGCCAGTGCCTCCACGAGCGTCCCCGTGGGCAGGTCTCCGAGTGGGGGCCGGGCTCTGTTGGTCGCGGGCTCCTTGGTTGTCGCGCCCCCGCCGGTCCCCTGGGCTTGCCCTGGTTAGCCTCTCTCCCTCAACCCCGCCCCCAAGCACGAGCGCTCGGCTTTTTCCACCTTCGCTCGGGGCACCCGCCCGACACTGGCTTGGTCACGGCTCTCTGCGCCGGCAAGGGGGGGTGGCCGGGGCTGTAGTTTTCCGCCGTTGCGAAGGACACTGTTTGGAGGGGCAGAGGCATCCTCGCCGGCGCGCAGACTCAAGCCGAGCATCTCACCATTTGCATGTTAATCTGCCTCCACCGCAAAAAGGAAATCGCTGAAATTCCGAAGAAAATTGCCTCTCGCCAGCAGTTAATAGTTAACTCAGACAGGAAAAGTTCCCAGGGAAAGGCGACAGCCAGGGCGAGAGGCTCGGGGAGAAGGCCTGGGAGGACCGTGGCCCGGCCCCGGCCTCTCCCCTCGCCCGGCGCGCTCGGCCCGCCCGGCGCGCCTCCCCTCCACCAGCGGCGCGTCTCCCCACCCTGGAATTAGTATCGTTTAGTTCACAAAACCCTTCCTGGGAGAAATCTGTTCCCTCGTTCTGGGGCTCGGTTCAGCACCTGATTCCGCCCGGTGAGGTGAATAAATCACGGCGGCGGCGGCGGCGGGGGAGCCGGACCGAGCCCGCCAGACAGGGGCCTCTCGAACGAAAAAGCGAGAAGGAGGCGGCGGGGTCAGGAAAAATGATTCAAGGAGATGGAGTAACCCTAGCCCAGGAACAGCGAATGTCCCTGGAAGACTGAACCAAAGAAAGGAAGGAACTCAA